AACTATAATCATCAACCAAAAGGAGGAAATACATGTTTCCCACAGGAGTTGGTGGAGTTATTGGGCCGCAGAGATCACCGTGGACTAGCTGCAGAATTCTTTCAGCTCTGTGACTGGTTTGAGTGGGAAAAGAACTCCTGGTTTGTTTCCCAATCAAACACCCGCTGCATATCTGTGTCGGGTGCTCTATACTCGACACACCACACACCATATTCTTCTTGGACATCAACTTCAGGGAATCAAAGTTTATATACCCGAGGCGTGCATGCCAAAGCCAAGATGATTCTGTAAGCTTTGACAGCAAACAAACTGGCTCAAAACTCTCCAAAATGATTTTGTAAGTCTGTTCGGTGACCTTTTCACTTTCATGAGCAACCTCCCCTGTTTATCATACACCCATAAAAATTCTCCGTGGAGTGTGACCTTGTTGCCAACCTCTGAAAGTTGATTGAGGCTTATAATGTTGCTACACAGATCAGGTATATAATATACCTCATCCAGTAGTCGTTGCACACCATTTTTACACTGAAGAAGAATACTTCCTCTACCAGCGATGTGCACCATTGATCCATTTCCAAATTTGACTTGGCCTTTTATGCTCTTGTCTAAATCCTTGAATTTTGATCTCTCGCCCGTCATGTGGTTACTTGCTCCGTTATCCAGGTACCACAAGTTAGACTCCTTTGTGGCTCCCTTGCTAGACCGCAATTTTGGGACCACCTTTTCGTTTAACAGTACCACGTTGCATGCCTCCTGCTTGCACATGGATAGAAAGAGTGCAGGCTCATCATCTTGAATCTGGATTAGATTTGCTTCCCGGTTGTTCTCCTGTCGAGGCTTTCGACATTCTGACGCGTAGTGACCGTAGATATCACAATTAAAACATTTTATATTGCTTTTATCACGGCCACCACTTGAGTTCCGGTTGCTCTCTGCCTCCTGCTTAAAGGTATTGTTACAGCCTCGGCTTCCCCAACCGCCTCCTCGACCTCTGACGCATCCCCTTCCACGGCCACAGTTATTTCCACTGTTGTTACCGTGAGCCTTAGGAGCTGTAGAAGACTCCCCACTGCTTCCCTTTTTTGACCTTGCCAGCCACTCCTCTTGAGTGAGCAAGAGCTGGTTACCCTCGATCTCTTCATGTCCATGAATCCTCCCTTCGTAGCACCTGAGCCGGCCAACAGCCTCTTCAACCGTCATGGTCTCCATGTCTCCAAATTGCTCGAACTTGTTAAAGCAATATGTAGATATTTTGTTGGGACAGTCCTGAGCAACTTCTTAACGACACACGCCTCCTCGAACTTGTCTCCCAAAGTCCGAATGTTGGTGGCGATTTTGTGTAGTTTGATAGCAAAATCATCAATGGACTCCAATTCCTTCATTCTGAGCATTTCAAACTCCGACTTGAAGGTCTGAATCCTTGCATTCTTTACGCGTTCCGCGCCCATGTATATCGTCTTGAGAGCATCCCATGCCTCCCTCGCAGATTTCTTTTCTGCCAGTGACAATAACATCTCTTCTGGAATGCCCTGGTATATGGCTGCCATGGACATCTTGTCCCTCCGATCCTCGACTTCCGCTTTTGGATCAGCTGGTTCAATGGCATCCCAAACTCCTTGGGCTTGCATGAACACTTTCATCTTTATAGCCCATGGAGTGTAATTGTTTTTGGCAAGCATCGGGTACTGGAGACTGACTGCTCCTTCTTTGTTTTTAGAACCGTCCATGGTTGGATTCCGAGGCATGTATTTGGGCATTCACTTCACCAACGAGGCTTTGATACCAAGTGTAGTTCACTGCCCAGGATTTCTGAAAAGTGCAGACAAGAGCAATAATCTTATTGAGGCAATAATGCAAACACTTTGAGAGCAAAAATAAAGCACAATCTGGAGCAAACTAACTGAAGTATATTGCCCTGTTTTAATGATCAGTAACTGCTCGTACATAACAAGACTGTTGCAGTATAAATAAGGATAAAAAGAAAACAAACTAACAGAACACACACTACTCCACGATTCTAAATAATAGGAAAGCAAAACTAACCAACTATACAATAAAATCGGATCATGGGTTATGCCCATAATTTTAGGAATAGTTTGGACTAACTCCAAGAAATACATCACCATCTTCTTTAATTTCAAATATAGATAATAAGGATAACGATTAAAAAGAAACCAGATTAAAAGTGAATTATAAGCCCAAAACAAAAAGAGATAGTAAGAAACTTCGTCATCACCATCCTCATCCAAACATGCTCATTTGGCTCACCCATTATCAACTAAGGCGAGATCCCCACAAGTATTTGTCATACAAAGACAAGTAATGGAGGATACATTCAAGTAGTAGGAGTAATAACAATGCCATGAATTAGGAGTAGTTAGAAGTGCATATTTCCCTAGATTAGCATCATCATAAACCCGTAATATGAAGACTCGCCTTCAGCTCGTCTACTCCAAAAGGTACATTTAATATGAAGGCTCGCCTTCAGCTCGTCGATTACGTTGGCCCAAGAATCATTTTAAGTAAAGTCCATTTACAAGACTAGTATAGTACCCGTGCGATACAATTTTAATACTCCGTATTAAAATATTATTGAAGAATATATTGACCATAGTAGATTGCAACTAATGCATGTATGGATAGAGAGTTATACTAAATACAGATCCAAAAGTAAATACATTTCATCGCAATTGTATTACACATCTAAAAAAACTTGTGAATATAAAATATTTATTATTGAGTTATTTGAAAGTAAATACATTTCATCGCAATTGAAATAATACAATATTTCTTTTAAACGGATCTTCACTTCTACTAACTCATATTTTTTGTCCAAGTTTAAATCATAGGCTGATGGAGGCATAGCACAACCTCCAAATTAAACATCGGCACGCACCTAGAATCGTTCCAACAACTCACAATTCTAGGCATGGGATATAATGTTGTATATTTACACCATTCTTCTTTGCGTTCACATTCACTTTGGGCTATAGTTTCCCTCTTTTATTCTCATCGGCGGCACACCTTCCTCTCTTGTTCTTGCCGGCGGCACACCTCCCTCTCATTCACTCACCGTATCTAGCTTGTATTTATCTCGTAGGCATCCCTATATTTACAATCTTTTCTTACATGTAACAACCTAAAGAAGAAATCCAGTACGTAATATTTAATGTGGGAAACATACATGAAAATACTATTTTCTGTATTTTCATACCTTGACATCATGTAAAATGTGCAGTGCCCACCTTTAATGTTGGACATTTTTGTTAGCATCTTCTTTGCCACCTGCAAACTGATATGATGCCGAGAATCTCACTTAGCATGAAAGCTCGATCAATTGCTCTCGATTTCTCTAGACTAAAGAGACTGCAAAACAGTTTTATAATTAATTTAATTAATAAGAATAATAATAATAACCTAATTAAACACAGAACTAAAAGTGCAAGAGTGTTTGATAGATCGATCTATGAAATCTCATCACCTAGATGCAAGTATTTTCTACATCATAGAACTGAGAAATCAATATTTTAAACTCGGAACTACTAAAGAGCAATTTTACTCTCATTTGTTATGTTTGTATTATAATTTGTATGTAGTGATATTGTGAACATGATCTTGACAGTTATGGAAAATAGTGGGGCAGTATGTTGATTAGCTAATTGCTCACACGTAGTAATATATATCCCGCCAATTGATCTACGTGTGCAGTATATACTACATAGCGGGAACAACGGTTACCTTACTTATCTCACGATTGCGTTTTTATATATATATAGATATAGATTAGCCCATCTCAACATTTAATTAATAATTTTGTCAAACCAAAGTGGACACGTAAAATAGAAAGGAAGTACGGAGTAGTATTTTGTAGTAATCTAAGAATGAAGTTTTCAATAACTTAAATTTTAGGAACAAAAAAAGCAAAACGTAAAAAGAGAGAAAGTAATGTGTAACTACGTATGTCATGAGTGGCATAAAGAGTAGGCTCATCATAGTAAACAAATTGTGCTCAAACATTGCTAGTGCTCAAATGTTGTAACATATAAAAATTATTAGGCCAATTGTGGTGATTATTGGTTTTTATATCATTCTTATTGGGCCTCCTTTGAACGTTATTGAATCTTTGAACGTTATTGAATCAATGTTGAATTCTACCGGGCCGCTCGTGATGGTCGTTAGGCCTTATCAAAAGCAAAATAGTGACATGGACCCCTTGAGAAGAAATTTAGGAGTAATTTGTTGCACCCATAATAATTCTCTACTTACACACAAACAATTCAATATTTGTTTTTGCTCCCTAAACAAGTAGGAGCAGTTAAGCAAATCCAAACACCCCCTTATACACATACTCTTACTTCTAAATTTTGCAATACTTTTTTCAATTTTATAATTTTATTTTTCACTTAACGTACGTCTTTTTCATAGAACAATACTTCGGTTCCTACTCTATGTACGTACCCAATTAAACCATCCGGTGGACACCAACCAGTCAATCAAACTTGCCGATAAACCTCAGATCACTTGTCCTTAAATATATGTTTCTCTAAATGACATAATGGAATGAAGAAATGTACTTCTGCCCAAGCTTCACTGCTCTAGTTCATCATCATCCGCCATCATAGATTTTTAGCCAGCCATCATGCATGCATCAAATCCAGCTCTACTGCAAAGCTTGTTACAGACTGCAGTTCTATCTGTTCAGTGGACTTACAGTCTTTTCTGGCAACTTTGCCCACAACAAGGGTTGGGATTTAATATGTTTCTTGATTTTCCTTCATTTCTTTATCATGATATATTGATTTGTTTGGGAATCAATCTTACTGATTTGCATGTGTATGTAGGATGTTGGTGTGGAGAGATGGGTACTATAACGGATCCATAAAGACGAGGAAAACCGTACAGGCCACGGAAGTTAGAGCCGAAGAGGCGTCGCTCCACAGAAGTCAGCAGATTAGGGAGCTTTATGACTCCCTTTCCACCAGCACCGCCACCGCTGAAGATGCAAATGGTGGTGGCGGAGGCCAGCAGCTAGCTGCAATGCGGCGTCCCCCTGCTGCGCTATCCCCTGAGGACTTAACTGAGTCCGAGTGGTTCTACCTCATGTGCATCTCCTTCTCTTTCCCACCTGGTGTTGGGTAAGTCAAACTTTGTGTTCTTTTAGTGTGAATAATGCTTAAATAATGTTATCACCCTCTCATTAAACTTGATGAAATTTGACTTTCACGTGGAATTAGAAAGTACGGAGTAAAAACTCTATGATTAATATTTGTTCAGAGGAGAGAGAAATAATTTTAACCACATATTTATTACTTGAAATAAAAATTACACAGTTTTTTGGGACAGGGAGAGTATTATCTTTTAACAGGAAAATGCTTTTGAATGGTTTGTATTAATTCATAATTTAAAACTTAATAATTCTTTATCAGACTTGTAAACTGTTTACGGGTACTATAAACAATACAAAGATTAACATTGAAGACCAGGAAGGACAAAATCGTTGTTTTCTGGACATAGAACTCATCATTGACTTCGAAAGAGAGAAGCTTTGATTACTTCTGTTCTTTTATTAGAACTAAGGGTGTCCTGTTTTTAGGATAAGAAAAATGCTCCTATTTATATATTCACTTTACACATATTTTACTACTGTTTGCAACAATTTTTAAAAAGAAACTCAAGAATGCAAAGTTTTTGTGTTTTAGTTTTTTAATTGCAGTTGTCTAAATGAACAGATGAGCCATGTATAACCATTTTTTATTTGTACAAAAAAAACTTCTTGTTATGGGGTTGGAGGGCATTGATTAGGGAAATTGAGAAACTCAAAGTTTGCTATAAGGGGAAGCCTATGGGGGGACTGCGGGTGGGTAGTGTGAAATAAAGTGCAATTCAACCATGAAGAAGCCTAGCTGCAATTACTACAATACTACTACATATTGGGGTTGAAATTACCTGTTGGCCAGGTGTTCTTTCACCATGAACTCCTCATTTCTTCACTGCTGGCCCCTTCCATCAGCATCGTCTTACGGCACCTATGGCGGTGCTAGAGGTAATAAAATCACAATATTTAGTACTTCAGGATAGATGTTGACACCCACCAGTTCCAAAGCAGACGGTTCCTTGTCCCATAAATGTAGAAACAGTAACGCAAACCCATTCCAACTCGACCCTCCGGATAGTTACAGGTTCTGAACATTTTTGAAAAAACTAACACGGCGACACCGCCAATAGATATTAATAGGTAGTTCGATCGATTATTGTGGTGGCAATTTAAAAATGGAAGTAAAAGCAGAACTGCTGGTTCCGCCCTCATGACCCAAAACCTTAACTGTAACAGTATATCATGTCCATCCTAGTTCAAAACAGATGACAATTAAGACTTAGAATCATTCCAGATCTAAAATGATCATGTCAGACTTAAAAGAGGTGAACATTAATTAAACAATAACAAATAATACAATACACATAACATGAAACCAGGCTAAACTTGATTACACCAAATCAAACTAATTCAGACTAAACCAAACAGATATGTTTCTGTCCAATTGAATTTCTAGTCCACATGAAACTGGTCCTCAGTATGTACCATTAACAGTATAACTACTCATTATCTCAGGTGCTAGAAATATAGAATCATATTTTCAGTACTCTATTAAATCCATACTATCTGCTTCTAGCGCTATTCAGATCATTTCAGTGCTCAAACAGAGAGATTACAGTAAATTAGGAATACATAAATAAAAAGAACAAACCATTCAATTATTCTCCATAACATCAATGGATAACACCATCATCTGTTTTTCATCCAACCATACTCCAATTTTCTACATAATCACATTACACATCCTCAATCCACGAACCTGATCAAGGAGAGAAAAACACAAGAATTTAATAACTCGTGAAGTCATGAGTTTTTCAGCTATACCATAAAATTTGTTACGGTTACAAGTTCAATAAATCAATGATCTCTGCATCTACTGAGGTACCGCAATCTTCACATGATCCTGATTGTGGTGATGATCATTACAACAGCCTTTGTTTTCTTCTTCATCATCGCTGTAGTCTTCGTCAAAGGGCTTCTCCTTGTGGAAAATGCAGCACTTCTTAGAGCTTTTCCTGTTTAGGAACTCGTTATCCACTGTGCCTTCCTTCCACGACACCTTCTTCTTCCTCCGCTTCAATTTGAGAACTAGGGTTTCGCTGGGAGGCCGGTGGAGAGAGGAAGCGGGTGAAGAATCTCCAGGCTGCGAAGATGCATCGTCTACGGTGATGGTTAAGGTTCTCGTGCCGGTGGCGGACGGTTGGAATTGCCTCGTCAGCGTCGCCATTTTCGATTCTCCCCAACTCTCCCTTAGCCGTTGTCCGCGAACACAAAGATTTCGTGAAATTGTCGATTGGCCGATACAGAATTGATTTCCAGATGGAATATGCGTCTGATGAATTGATGATCAAGTAAGACTTCCCGGAGGATGGAGGAGAAAGGAAAAATACCGGGAGCTATGTACAAAATAACAAAAACGAAGAATGGTCCAAATTCAATGCCAGAGCCTAATGGAAGCTTCTTTACCCTTTCTGCAGAGAGGAGTTGGGCCAGTAGTACTCTAATGTGGACTATTAGTTTTGGGCCACATTATTGGCTCAAAAAGAGGGTGGTGGTGCATGTAACATTGCAATTTTTTCAAGTTGTTATAAATTTATGGGAAAAGGTGCAAATAGGCCCATGTACTAACCAAAAAAGGTCAAATAAGCCCTTATTTAGGAGGTTCTGTCCGGCTGTCGCCATTTGGGGTGGTTCCCGGTGGAATTTTTTAATGAAATTTTTTGAGTATCTTATTCATCAAGTCTAGTTTACTCATACCAAATTTCAGCTAAAACTTCAATCAGGAAGACATTCAAATGAATTCTTGAAAATAACTGCGCAATTGCACAGTTATCTTCAAGAATTCATTCGAATGCCTTCCCGATTGAAGTTTTAGCTGAAATTAGGTATGAGTAAACTAGACGTAATGAATAAGATGCTCAAACAATTTCATCAAAAAATTCCACCGGGAACCACCCCAAATGACGACGGCCGGACAGAGCCTCCTAAATAAGGGCTTATTTGACCTTTTTTGGTTAGTACATGGGCCTATTTGCACCTTTTCCCTAAATTTATAGAAAAGGGTCAAATAGGTCTTCTACTATTATGAAATCGTCACGTAAGGCCATGTACTCAATATAGTGTCATATAAATACGTTTACTTATATAAAACATTCGGATGAGTTCTAAAGATCCGTTTACAACCTCTTAATCCTGATTTTAGCTTACGTGTCAATTTTTTTTACTTGTATTTCAACCAATCTTAGGTAAATATTCGACATGTGCCGTATAATCTATTATAAAAAGATGGTTTCAAGAACACTAAAATCGGGATTAGGAGGTTGTAAATAGGTCGTTAGGACTTATTTGATTGTTTTTTACAAGTAGACGTATTTATATGATACTGTATTGAGTACATGACCTTATGCGACGATTTCATAATAGTAGAAGGCCTATTTGACCCTTTTCTCTTTATACTATTATACTCTTTTCGTTCTCTAATACATATCTCTCTTTTCATTTTGTGATGTTCTCCAATACATGTCTCTCTTTTCATTTTTAGAAAGTTTTTTCAATAAGTATACTTATATATTCTCATTCTCTTTCCTACTTTTTCATTCTCTTTCATATTTTTTCCTTTACACACACATCAATGCCTCATTACACCTTTTATCTTGCTCCTATTGTTTTTTTCTTAAATCTTGTGCCAAAGGCTATAGAGCCATCTATTAGAGAACGGAGATAGTAATTAAGATTCTTTTAATGGTATAATAAAATTTAAATTTTTTAATTATCTATTTTTTTTAGATTTTTTAAAATTTTAAATTTGCAATATTGTAATATAGTACTATGAAAGATCTGTAATATAGTACTATGAAAGATCATAAAAATTAAAAAAAATGATACATATTTTCTTTTAAAAATTTGGACGTTTAATGAAAATTTTACGGAGTATAAGAATTAAAAAAAAAAAGAAATTGACAAGCTAATAGGGATGGGTGAACATTATGGGTGAGTAAAATTGCTTTACAAGATTAAAAAAGTTGTGTTGACATGGGTAATGCTTCTAAGAAAATGGGATTGTTTAACACTGTTTGAACACTGTTTGGATACTATTTGACACCAATTGACGTTGTTTTGCACTGTTTTGTTTACCAAAAAAAGAAAAAGAACTTTTACTTAGAGATGGATGGAGTATGGTTATGTTTGGAAATCATAAGTCTCTGCCTTCTGGATTTTGTACTGTTCAAAGAGTCTTTTAAAGCATCTAATTATATGTTTGGCATGACAATTTCTAAGAGTTTTTCAAAAATTAAAAGATCTTTTTTTAGATGCTACATGGAGTATCATCTGAAAAAAGTCTGTGACTTTTAGTATTAATTAGCCCTAAAAGCTTGTATACCAAACTGAACTAAATCAAACAGTCAGTTTTTTACCAAACAACTACTACATTTTCTTTTTAAAATCTTTTCAGTCACCAAAAGCTAACTTATAAATAAGCTAAACTCATTTCTATTATAAATAACAGTTAACCCCGTTGTAAATCACGACCATTTTACTGGAAAGTACATTGAATTTTATTCTTGATTCTAGTCTAATTTACATACTTCTTGATTTATTTTGAAATAAAAATTTCAATCCAGCTTGAGGTACACATTTTCATACACACACCTACACACTCATGTTTGGGAAGAGTTTTTTTTGTCTGTATGTAGACATAACGTATTTGAAAATATGTTATGTCCGTATACAGACAAAAAAATACTTTTCACAAACATGAGTGTGTAGGTGTGTGTATGAAAAATGTGTACCAATAGATTTTTTTGTAAAAATTTATTACTCCGTATTAATCTATAAACCATAATAATCCTCGAAAAGAAGATCAAGAATACATAAAGATGGATCATGGAACCATATAATCAGATCCCTTAATAGCTTGCTTAGTTAAAGTATCGGCAATTTTATTCGCTGATCATTACATACTACTATAATATTTCTCCACTTACCTCCACCTCTGCTGCGGACTCGATAATAACCTTGGAGGCTTAGACCAGGGGCCATGTTCCTCCCCTGCTACAAATAGCCCATCCTCATCTCAGGCCACCATGTTGAGCCCCCCGTTCAAAACTGTTTGTCCCCAGAGAACCATCAGTATTAATTTTAATAAAACCTCTTTTTGGACATAGTTCCACTTCGTAGTCTCCTGGTACTTTTGTAGCACATCTTTTTTATGATGAACTTCCTTCCAACCTTTTAGCATTGCCCGTCCCGTGCACTCCACACCTTTCCAGTCAGTACGCTTTCACCGGGCCATATCATTACTGGCTCTCCAAATACCCCAACAAACAGCGGCGGACGCAGGATTTGCCGATAGCAGGGGCGGCAGTACAAGAATATACATACAAATACATATATATTAAAAATTTCGGGGTAAATATACCTAGAATTTTTTTTCGGCGGAGGGGCGGCAGCCCCCCATAGCCCCCATGTGTGTCCGCCACTGCCAACAAAGCATTATAAACTCACTTGCCTCCACTACATACTTCTTGATTTTTTTAGTGTTCTTGTACGTGACCCGTTCAATACACATATTTTCTTCAATTAGTTTAAGCTTACGTAAAATTGCTTAACGCTGACTGAACATGTGATTCACAATTTGCTAACTAACGTGGGCGTGTTTGTCATTTAGCAGTTAGCATTAACGAGTTGTTAATAATAGATTTAGTCAATGAGTTTGATTAACATAATATATAAGTTGTCAGTTTGAAAAAAAATGTTTGAAAATTTAGTTGTCTGGTCGTAGCAATTAGTAGGAAATGACCTATTTCAAAATGTTAGCCCAAAGGCCAAAACATTGTTATTCACAATGTTTCCATTTTAGGAGTTCCGTTCAAAATCATTAGGGCCAAACAACTCTTTATCAAACAAGGTTTTCAGTTCACTTATTGAAAACTATAAAAAAGGGTCCAAGTGTTACGGGGTACTTTTTTACCGAAACACAATTTTTCAAAGACCCCTATAATGTGTGTATGATTGGATATACATATATAGGTTGCCTGGAAAGGCCTATGCAATACAGCAGCATTTATGGCTCACCGGTGCAAATGAGGTCGAAAGCAAAGACTTTTCCAGGGCAATTCTCGCCAAGGTACCACGCTCATGTACTTTTTTATGCACATACAGTAGTGTGGAATATACATTTTTTTTAGAGAGAGTGTGGAATATATTTTTGTCTACATTACTACATGTGTGAATGGTGAACATTACGATAATTTTTTACCACTTAACCCACGTATACCATACATGTAAGAATGTAGGAAAAAATATACGTCTATTCCTTTTTACTGAAAATCGTCTATTTAACAGTCAATAGAACCGGAATATATCGTCACATTTAACTGCCATTTTCAGGCAGGATTTTGAGTGGAGTCCACTTTCATCTTGGATCGAATTAAAGTGGATTAGGGTTCCCCTTGATTAGGGTTCAATTTGATATATGGTACACTCAAAATGGATAATGGGTGAATGAGAAATTAATTCTCGAATGTCACTTTGGAAAATATCGAAGGTAGAACTAAACGTAGAACTATCATCAGTTAATGGACATTTTAATTTCTCCTTCAAACTGCCAGTATTTTAAACGTTGGTTAATGTTTTGAAACTGTAATACGTGATTAATGCATGGTTTAATTGTGTGGTTAATGGCATGTAACGTTTCAACCCATTAAGACATGTTTAATGGCGATTTCAGCACAATAAGTGTGATATTATTGCATAATTGTTTGGCAAATCCTTTTGGAAAAGTAATATGAACATATTGAAATACCGTCACAAACTCAAATACAGCACATCATTGTTGCATTGTTCTTTCCAATGCAAAACTCTGTCAACTTTCGATAAAACTTCCTCAGTTTGATCTACCCTTGTTCTAGTTTGCCAGAGCAACCTATTGAGTGCTCAATATGGTTGTTTGTCAGTCATGAATCTTGAGAAACTGAGCAATCTATTCTTACTCATCTCAATTTGTGATATGATATACTACTCTGTATGATTTTGTTACACTCAAAACAATTTGATATACTCTAATGATGAAAGTATTTAACCCTACTACGAGAACATCTTATAATCAAAACATCTAGAATGTTTTTACTTGGACTAAAATTGGTTGGTCTAGTCTAGTATGACATGTTTAAGTCTGCTATGGTCTGGTAAATGTCTGGTCTCTGTGTGTTTTATAACTATGTAAATCTGATATGGCCCAGGCTGATCTATTTAAGTCAGGTTTGGTAAGTTTGTTCAAGTATGGTCTAGTTTGGTATGGGATTGGTCCAAGTAAAAACATCTTTAATCTCAACTCATTTTTTAAAGGGAAAATGGAAACTAATAATCCAACCTTTTAGCGGTCTTCTTTCAATAATCCCACCTTTTGATTATTCATGAATAATCCAACCTTTGCACCTCATCTGCATTCATTGGTC